TGTAAACATATATTATTAGCCCCAGGGGACCAGTTCTTTCTTTTTTATTGCTAAGTGAGATTCCATTGTATGGCTATACCACAATTTGTTTATTCATTTACCTGCTAATTGGCTTTTGGGTTGTCCCAAGATTTTGTTCGTTTGTTTTGTTTTTTGCTATTGCAAGTAAAGCTGTTATGAATATTTATGTACATAATGAATATATGCTTGCATTAGTCTTGGGCAAATACTGTGTCATAAGGTAGGTATATGCTTAACTTTCTATGAAACTATTTTTTAAGTGGTTATACCATTTTTCATTTCTACCAGAAATACACGAGAATACAAATTGTTCACAACCTTCGTATGGTCAGCCTTTAATATTAGTGATTCTAGTAGTGATGCCATGTGTCTCATTATAGTTTAACTTTCAACTCTACAATGTTGAGCATCTTTTTATATATACCTTCGAAGAAGTGTTCATTCAGATATTTTGTCCATTTTTAAACTGGGTTGCTTGTCTTTCCTATTGTTGAATAAGAGATGCTTATATATTTTAGACACAAGTCTGTCGTTGATTACATATCTTGCAAATTTTTTCCCAGAGTGTGTCGTTTTGTTTTTTTGTTTTTTCATTTTCATGACAGTCTTGAAGATTAGATATTGTTAATTTGGAAAAAGTTCATTTTATTGATTTAAAAGTTTTATAGCTTCTATCTTTTGTGTTATAGCTAAGTAATCTTTATCAAACCCATATTACTAAGATTTTCTTCTACATTTCCTAATAGTTTCATAGCATAAAATACTATATTAAGGTCTATTATTCCTCATGAACCTATATTTGAATAAGGTATGAAGTTAAGATTAAGGTTCATTTTATTTTATTTTTTTTAAAGATTTTATTTATTTATTTGTTAGAGAGAGAGAGGGAGAGAGAACGAACACAGGCAGACAGAGTGGCAGGCAGAAGCAGAGGGAGAAGCAGGCTCCCCACAGAACAAGGAGCCCGATGCGGGACTCGATCCCAGGACGCTGGGATCATGACCTGAGCCGAAGGCAGCGGCTTAACCAACTGAGCCACCCAGGCGTCCCTAAGGTTCATTTTAGTGGATATGGCTATACTATTGTGACACTGTGCTTTTTGAAAATGTCCTTTCCCCATTAAATGCATTGACATCTGTATAAAAAATGAACTGACCCCATATGTTTGTATATATTTCTGGACTCTTTTGTTTGTTCCATTGATTTATCTGTCTATAAATAGGCCAATACCATCTTCCCTTGATTACTATAGTTTTATATTAAGTCTTGGAATAAAGTGTTTTAACTACTACAGTTTTGCTCTCTTGGTTATGAAGAAGTTATTTTGCTACTGTAGATCTTTTATATTTCCATATTACATTTAGAATCATCTTGTTGAGTTCTACAACAATAGCAAAATGCCTCCTGAGATTTCAAATAGAATTGCACTCAATCTATCCATCAAATTGAAGAGAAGTGACATCTTAATAATATCGAGTCTTTTAATTCATAAGTGTGATATATCTCTCCATTGATTTAGGTCCTCTTTAAATTATCTCAGTAATGTATGGTAGATTTCAGTGTATAGGCCATGTGTATCTTTTGTCAAATGTACCTCTTCAAACTGTATTTTGATGCTTCTGTGATACCTTCATCTCAATTTCTGATTATTTGTGGCTACTAAATAGACATGCATTTTTGATTTTTGTATTGTCTATCCTGCAACTTTGTATCCTGAAAACTTGCTAAGCTTACTTGTTAGTTACACTAGCTCTTTATAGATTCCATCAGCTTTTTTGCATAGGTGATCATATAGTCTGAGAACAAAGATGATTTTCCATCAACCTTCCTCAACCGAATGACTGTAATTTCTATTTTTTACTTATTCCATTGACCAAACCTACATTACAGTGTAGAATAGAAGTGGTAAAAGTAGATATTTTTACTGTATCCCTGATCTCAGGGGAAAAGCATCCTGTCTTTTACACCTAGGTAGAGATTATTATAGATACTCTTTATCAGGATGAGAAGGTTCCCTTTTATTCTTAGTTGTTGAGAGTCTTAATGAGGAATGAATGTTAGATTTTGTTAGTAATTTTTCCCTTTAATATGATAATTAAATATTTTTTTCTTGACTGTTAAAATTGTGAATCACATAGATTAATTTTAAAAATCAAACCAACCTTGTATTCCTTGTATAAACCCCACTTGGTCATGATGTATTACTTTTAACATCTTGTTGGATTTGATTTTCTAAAATTTTGTTAAGATTTTTTGCATGTCAATCCAGGGATATATGTCAACATGTCATTGCATTTTTATGCCTTTGTCTGGTTTTGGTATAACAGTAATGCTGGTATCATAGAATGAATTGTAATGTGTTTCCTTCCCTTCAATTTTAAGTGATGAGAAGACCCCAAGATGATAGAAGACAATGACAAAGGAATTAGTCTTTGACAAAAATACAACACTTTCCCCATTCTCTAATTTTAGTGTGTATGCAACATATCTGAAACTTTCTTTTAAATAAATACTTTTACTTAGAAGGTCCAAAATGGATACCATATCATGTTGGCATAAATGACAACAAAAAACTTCCCCTATTCTTACATGGTTGATGCATGTTCTGAAGATTTTTAGTCTATTCAGTTGTTCTCAACTGGTCTTGTTTCACAGACCAGCAGCAACAAAATTACCTTGGAAACCTTGGAACTTAAAAAAAAAAAAAATGCAGATATCCTATCCCCCACTTCATACCTGCTAAATCAGTAACACTAGAAGAGAATGTAGGTGGCAGTCTCCTTCGGTTCTCAAGATGACTCCAATGCACCGTACAGTTTGAGAAATACTGCACTATGTTAAGAGAGAAAAAAAATGGATACAGATGCAGTTGATTTTGTATATTTTGTGTTTTAAGTAGAGAATATCTATACTATTCAGACTTCCTTTTCTTTATAACTTATGTGGGAGATCTGAAAGTGAGGGAGAGTAAGTCAGATGTTTGAGTGGTTTGGAGGAGGTATGGATAACCATTAGAAAAATGGAGAAGCAGGCTGATGAGGTCTTTAGTCACTATTAGATGTCTAGTTAAGTAATGCCATTGTCAACTTTTATTGATCCCATCTTCCTGATTGTATAATCTTCTCTCCCGATTCTTAGCTGCTCAAGGTAGAGGTATAAAAAAGGCAGCTTCTTGGATTTGTATGCAGTTTTCCTGCCAAATGGGTGAAAAGGGAGGAGAAAGAGATCAGTAGTTGATGGTATTTGCAAGAGAGTGAATGACTAATCATGGATCATAGTCTCTCTGCTGTGTAAAGAAAGAAAATGAAGACAAGAGGAGGATAATTAACAGATAGAAAGTTCTGAGATCTATAGATAAAAAGGTCTGGATGAGCTGGGAGAACTGTTTTAGTAGACATATTTCAGAAATGAGCTGGGAGTGTAAATGGTAATGGTTAAAAAGTGACATCCTTATTTTTGAATTCTTATTTTTTTGTGATAAGAAGTTATATGATATGACCTTAGTAATAGAGGTTGAGATCACTGTGCCAGATCACTGATACTGAGGAAGTCAAGAATGGGTGAATAAATATTCACATACATATTGAAGTCTCTTTCATTAGTAATATCAATCATAGTAGGGAATGGATGAATGGGAGACAGACAGCTGAGGACCAAATCAGAAAATACAGTGGCATCAGTATCACATAAAATAAATTGGAAGTCATCACTGGCACAGGAAAATTCTGGAGGACACATATTTCTCTAGAAGTTTATTTTGGGCCCACCATAATTTCAAAAACATATGTCCCAGTATGTGCTAAATTTATGGAATGTCTTTTGATAATAAGATTCATAATTGTGATATCTGTGTATAAGTGTGTTTTAACTGTGCATGTACAAAAAATAACCAGCTAGCCGGTAGATGATTGCAAAGAAATTGAATCATAATAACTTCCTCGTTTTTTCCTATTCATGACAAGAACAAAAAAGTTTTCTTTGAAAAGCTCCTACAACTCAGAAGTAAAAGGTTGGAAATTGTGCCCTGCTAACATCCATTCTAATTCTGTTTTTCAAATTCACAGAGAGTGAAGAAGTTTATCAAAGGCAGGTGCTGTCAATTTCATGTATCATCTTTGGAATTGTCATCGTGGGCATGTTCTGTGCAGCATTCTACTTCAAAAGCAAGTAAGACCATCTCTCTCAAGTGTTAAAAGGTCACTTCTCAGCGAAAACACTTTGTCTTTCTTTAATTTCACCATCTGTGTTCCAGGCAGAGGGATCTTGTGCAAATGGGTCCATCAAACATCTACGAATGACTTAGAATCTCTTATAGACTGTGGGGAGTATATGCAGCATGTGCATACGTGTGTATGTGTGTGTGTGGTTTCTCTTTGGTACACATAGTGATCATTCCACTCTGTGATCATGAACATTCTATGTTCTTTGCAATTTTTGATTACCCGCCAAAAGTAAAGCCTCAGTGTCTGCCTGTCCCTAGGGGTTAACACTTCTGAACAGAGAAGTCATTGCTGTAGATCTAAGCATTATCAACAAATATCTACGCTTTTCTGGGGAAAAAATACTTTTCCTTTCATAGTATTTTTACCTGATATCCATAAAGGTTTCAGCCTAATATGAAATATGAATACTGCAAGATCTACTTTGGTTTATCAGTCGATAAACACATGTTAAATATACTTCCCCTGCTAAGGAATAGAAATTCTGGGGTACCTGGTTGCTCAGAGTATGTGGCTCTTGATCTTAGGGTCATGAGTTCAAGCCCAATGTTGGGTATAGAAATTACTTAAGCAAATAAGTGCATAAACGTAAAAAAAGAAACCAAAACTTCTGCTGATAAAGGTACTAATTTTGACTAATAATGTATAATAAATTATATATATACCTATATATACATACAAATATATTCCAAATGAACTTTGATAAAGGTATTTTATTTATGGAAATTTTATTTAAGTCACGCAAGCCTTAAGAAGTTGGCACAGATTCTATTCCTACAGCTTGTCTGAAATGCAAGCCAATGTGTAATTGCTTTTCATTGGACTTATATTTGTTTCCCCATTTGCTCTTCTAAAAATGGATCCATTTCCAGAGATAGTCTATGACACCTGTCTGCATGTTGTATATGTTGATCTTTAAAAAGAACAGCAATTATTATTTTAAAAAAGAGTGGAAACTTGGGCATAGATCCATAATTAGTAACTATTATTTTTTAATGAACTATTTCAGAATAGATTTAGATATTCAGAGTTACTGTGAAAATAGTACAGATAGATCCTGCATAGCCCAGACACAGTTTCCCTAATACTAATGTCTTATGTTAGTATATTGCATTTGTCACAATGACTAATATTCATACTGTATTACTAACTGAAGTTTGTACTTCCAGATATCCTTAGTTTTTACCCGATACGCTTTGTTCCAGGCCCCATCTAGGATACTACATCATATTTAATTGTCATGTCTCCTAGGCAACTGTTGGCTGTGACAGTTATTAGTGTTCATTTTTGAGAACTTAACTCTTTGTCAGGGACACTGGGCTTTGCATTATCCCCCAATCCTCACAACAATTTGAATTGTTCATTATTGCTGCATTTTTCAAATAATAACAGAATTTAATTTTAAAATATTAATTTGTCAAAGCCACACAGATGGGGTCTTTGAATTTCCACAGCCCTAGTTGAAATTGCATGCTCGATACTACCGTACCACATCGGCTCCCACAGTCCTCCGGCTAGATGCTGGAAGGTGAAACTGTGTAGGGTGAATCAGGAATACCGTGTATTCGTGCCACCCATAGTGCTTGGTGTGTCCTCTTAGGGAGCTTATGTGGCATCTGGTCAGGATTGTACCTACCTCACTCATACCTTCATTCAAATCTCCAGGCTGCCCCTTGCTTGTTATATATTATCAGGCCAATTGCATCCAGTCCCTCAGCCTCAGTTTCCTTTTTGGTAAAATATGGCCGAAAATAATATTTACCTTATAGAATTTGTTAGGGATTAATGGGATAACAGTGTAGAGAGCACAGTGTAGTGTTCCAAAGAATAAATAATGAAAGCTTGCTATGGTTAACACCTGCGGGTTTCCACACTGGAACTTAGAGGCTGCGTAACGGCAGAGTGAGGAGCATGCACCGGGACATGAGGGGGTAATCACACACCGCAGGGCGTTGGAAGGGTCTCCCCGCAAGTGCTGTGTACAGGAGAGAAATTGTGTATTTAACAATAAGCAAATTACCATCGAGTGGTGGCTAATCACTTATTTTTAGAGTATAATTTGTAGTTGTACCACATGGAAAGGAAAGACTGATTATGACAATCACATGACTGGAGAGCAGCTGGATAACTCAAGGACCGCCATCTTCATAGCTGTCAATCTTTCCCTCTCTAGGCAGGATGTGGGCTCTGAGATGAACACCACCTCCTGGGGCTCAGTGAGGTGTCAGGGTTTAATGGAAACACTGTGCAACATCATTCATTGTGGGGGACTCCAAGAGCTGAGCCAAGGGAGGAACACTAATCAGGATGTTGTCTTTCTGCCTGCCCAGCTGGGACATATTTTTATTAAAAAATTGAATAACTCTAAAAAGTGAGAATAACAAAGTAATAATAAAAAATTGAAGCCTTTTCCAGGTGGAGTTATATTTCTCATTAGAGACCTAGAGTGTATTTCCTTCTAGCACAATTTCCAGGCAAGGTCTTCCTTTATTTTTCTTTACCTGAGAGGAGTGCTATACCTCACACAAACATCTAATCTATATAGTTGAAAGCAATGTAAACTTTTATAGCACCTGGCACATGTGTCTTTCCACTCATTCCCTGAATTCTAATTCCCATCCCCATATCTCAGGGATAATAGCACAGACAGACTCTACCTCGAACTTTCCTTACTTTCACACATACCATATAACGTTGTAATAACGTGTATCATTTGTTTGACTTCATCTTGGAAGTGCCAAGTCTTATAGGTTTCTAGGAACTGTCCATCATTGGTTTTTAAATAAAATCAGCTGAACCAGCATTCTATATACTGGGATACATAGTTCCTAGCCAGATAAAGTCAGGAGTTACACAAAAGCTCACATTCCCCTGGATCATTTATATTTTAGTCCCCATAGTCCCTCAGGTCCTGCCACTCTGATCCTTTGCCCATCGTCTTGTGACCCTTGGTAAGGCATGGCCTTGGAATATTACATGGAATATTACAGTAAATTGTTAGCAGATGAAAGTTTGAAGGGAAATAACATGATGAGATAGAAGCGATCAACACCTTCTTGGATTTAGAGGATTTTCTGAGTTCATTGAACCTCCACAACTCTAAAGGACACAATGAAAGAAATTATCTTCTCATCACTTCCAATAAGCTCATATACTCCCATAAGTTATTGGAAATATTAGTTGAGTTATTCAAATCTGGCTGATGGGGCTCACATGGCAACTGTAAATTTTTGCAGGTTTCTTTTTGCTTTCAACTCACATGGGTAAGAAGTATAAGGCTGCCTGTAGAAGTCCTTAGTAGACTTGGGAAGTGCAAGACACGATTCAACTCTAAAAAATGGAATTGAGATAGGAGAGATGTTCCAGGAGACAGAAGCTAGGACGAATAATGATCATGACTGGGAAAAACAGAAGGAAAAAGGAAAAATGGTGCTCCCAGTAAAAACCGGCCCTGACCATAGGTTATCATCCTCTGAAATCAAAGATTTTAACCCAAGGAAAGCCCATTAAAGATAGGCAGTGGTTGCTCTGATGTGCAGCTTTGATTCTCTTGAGCAATGAAGATCTTAGTCCTCCAGTTGCTAAAACAAATATAATAAAACTTCCCTTCCTCTGACCTGAGATAGCCCACCTCCAATGACAGGTCAATGTGAGGCTCCAAAGACTTAGATCTTTGCCCCAATTTAGTGAGCAAGGCCATGCTGGTTTCAGAGCATCCCAAGGGACTGGGATCTGCATCACTGAGACTGCATTACATTCCAATTTTTTCCCTGAGCCCTGTCCTGCCTCCCTTCCTATGATTCCACAGCTGTTGATCCAAAGAGCCTCCCCTAATAAAAATCCTTCATGCTGTCTCCCTCTAAGTGCCTGCTTTCCCAGGAACCCATCCCACAACATTACCAACAGTGCCTACCAGTGGACTTGTAATGCCTGATATTCCACAATTTATATATCATTTCTTTTCTGATGAACTGGACCAGAGAAACTTAAAACTCAATGAACTACAAAATGTTAATGTTGACATTGTTAGGCTAGTAGGGTTCCAGTGTGCAAGGCCCTTATCTTGTCTTTCCCAGAGCACTGACTCTTGTGAGAGAGGTAATGGTATTTTAATCAGACACCTCTCATGTTTTGGTTCCCATTTGCTGGACGAAGGAAGAAAGAGCAAAAGTATGTGTGTTTGGGACAGGGTAGGTATGTGTAGAGAAGAAGCCTGGTTCAGAATGGAAAGCCTGCTTATTCTGGAATATTAGAGTCAGGACCTGAGTGAGAAGCCAGTAAAGGAAAGCAAAATATAAAAGGATTTAGGAAACTGCAATCACATATTTTTTATGAGGAAAATTCCTTTAGACGCTGGTATTTCTCAGACACTGAATTACAGAATTACTGGAAAGATAGTTAATGTTTCTACTACTTAATCCTTCAGAGAGTAACTGGGTCCTTACTCTGTGCCAAACCCCTTTTCGAGTAGAACCTCCTGATCTCCTGTTTCCTTCATCAGTGAATCCCTGATGGAATTTTGTGGCTATAATGTGCTTCGTATAATGCTGATATGATAAATTTATTTTTAACAATACGCTACAGACTATCTCTTAGGAAATAGATAGATTATTACAACTGGATTAAAGCAACTAAAAGTACTGGAGATAAAAACTCCAAACAATTGAAAATATAAAAGTAATTTTTAAACAGTGCTACATCACTGCTGTTGTAAATTCAAAAGAGTTAATGATTCTCAGAGCTTCCAAATCCGGTAGCAAACACTGTCACTTGCCTGTGAGAGATGCAATTAATACAATCTTTTTCTTTATCTTTGAGCCAATGTTTTAATTTCTCTATAGGATCTGCCCATACAACTAAGCTTACTAAATGATGAGAAGGGGAACAGATCAACACTTTGCAGATGTTCTCACATTTCATTTCCACAGTATCCGTGGAAGTTAGCTTTTACAACACCATGCACAGCTGAGGAAACTGAGGGTCAAAGAAGTTTAGGAAAACTGTCATTTTGATTTAGTAAATGAAAGCAAAAATGGTGGGTGGCAGAGCTGGGATTCAAATCAAATACCCAAGCCCATTCTCAGGAAAAGCTCTCTGCAGGAGACCGTGTACATACTCCACCAAAGGCTCTATCCTTGACACGGATCTTGGGAAGAGTTAAAAGTTTGGGGTGGGCTGGACAATTCTGCTGTGTGTGTGTGCATATGTGTTTTTGGGTACTGAGTCTTCTGCTGATAGAAAATTAATGTAAAGTCCTTGGAAGAGAGCAGTTAATAAGGGAGTAATTTGTTGCATCCTTATGGTTAGCAGCAGTCACCCACGTATGCAGGCAAGAGCACTTTGGTGAGAATCTGAAACTTGAGAATAGTCTCAGTGTTCCCACTGAGACGCTGTAGGAATATAGGCAAGTGGTTTGACAGTCCGAAGTGGTGGTTGAGAGTAATTCACCTCCACCACTTACTAGCAATGTGACTCTGGAAAAATTATTTAGCTTCTCTGTGCCTCTGTTTCCTCATATATTACATGAGTATAGGTGATGCTCCATCACACAGAATTATCACAAATAATAAGTGATTTGATATATGGAAAACACTTAAAATGATGCTTTTAAGATGTTCTTTCAAGAGTTAACTATTTTTTTAATTGTTATTTACAAAGCAGAAATAAAAATCTTCACATTCAGATCTAATGATAATAAATGAGCTATTTCTAAATTGTAGAAGAGGAAATATACTTACGATGTATATGCAGGCTACATGATCAAGCTATACATGTTTGGAAATGTATATGAAACAAATAGAGATGTAACTTTGTTACTATGTTATATGTGGCTGTTAGGTCCAAGCTTCAAATTTTTCCACTGGTTACTTCAGAGCATTTCTAATTCTTTACCACTGAGCACTAAGGGTTTGGGACCTCTTGCATTCCTGGGGGCCAGGACAATGTATTATGCTTCTGTCTTCCTTTGGCACACCATTGGGTGTGAATCCCAGGATGTTGATGGATAAAACCAGCTTCTCTCCAGATTAGAAGTTATCTGATGGGGCTGGCAGGTTGAAAATGAGGGAAGGATGTTCTTTGTTAACTGAGTTTTCCAGGTTTCACAAATGACAAATATAGATGTTGGGAATGAATGAACGCCCCCCAAATATGAATAGAATAAAGTGATGTAAGTATTTATGTGTTTATTTAAACCTGCAGGAAGCAAGCTAAACAAATTCAAGAGCAGCTGAAAGAACCACAAAGTGGTAAAAACTACAGCCTCAAAGCATCCAGCACAATGGCAAAGTCAGAGAACTTGGCGAAAAATCACGTCCAGCTGCAAAGTGTAAGTTACCTGTCTGTATATCTCTTCCCCCAGCCCACCTCAGTGCTTCCAGTTCAGAAGAGATGGGGAGCTTGGGATCAGACTTGTAGATTTTTTTTTCAGTGCTTTATAGATATTTCCTTAAGTCATCTTGCAGTTCTGGGTGTGTGGACATGCACATGTACAAGTTGAAACTGAAAAATTAAATCTCATCTTTTGATTACACTGTGCAATATAAATTAATCTCTGGAAGCAAAAAGAGCTGTGGTTGTTTGTTCCATAATGACTTACATTCTTACTCTGTGTCAGAAAATGGTGCTGGGTACCAGGGATCCAATGTTCTCTACCTTATGGGAATTTAACTGTAGTAAGAGATAAAGACACCAGAACTAGAGGGGTTTGTGGGCTGAGATGGTTGACAGTGCAGTAGATTGGAGAGGAAACCAAAAGGAGGTAGATGGGTGAAAGGTTCATTAGCTAGTCAAAGAGCAAAGGAAAAGAGACTAGGAGAAACAGAAAAAATGAAGCCATGTTATCCTGAGAATGTGTATTATATTCAAGCAACTCCAATTTAAGGGATGTGAGCGATGTCAAAGGTAAGACAGGTGGGAAGGGAGAGTGGTATTCTCAGAGCCAGTATGTCCTAATACCAAACCTTAAATAGGTAGTAGAACTTGAAATATGAGCTCTTTGAATTCTACATTCTTTCTACAGTTGTTTTAATCATTTCTGCGATAGATTGCAAAACACTTAATTAAAGACAAGCAAATATCATCTAAGACATACGGAAATTTTCCTCTCAGGTTAGCAAATTCTTTGCCCCCATAAAAGATTGCGCTTCCAGATTCTGAGACACAAAAGGAAGGAACAAAGGCCCTGGTATAAACCTAGTCTTTGAGTATAATAGGCAATCACCCAGGACATATTCATGCCCCTCCAAATGCATAAATCACTGGGAATTTGTACATCATTTGTGATTCTAAAAAATCATTACCCAGAAAGTCACCATTTTCTATGCATAACAGATGTACTTAGATGTTTAGTGTGAATTCATAAATCAGAATTGCTTCCTAGCAAAGTTTTGTTAAACTTGTAATCATAGTTATGTGGGGACTGTTCTTTCCTGTAATAGAAGGGATGTTTTTTGCTAATGATTTCTGGGTATTATCTCGCCACCTCGCCACACAAATGCAGTGATGGAGGGTTTCAATCCCTTAGTAACTGGACCTGCTGAAGATAAACAAAGGCAGCCACTAGTTAAAACAGTAAGCACAGATTTTAATCAGTAATGTATTATTGCATTATGGAAGAAGCTCCAGCATGAGCTGAACTCAACTTCAATTTGCATAGAGTGGGGGACTGGTTGCTTTAAAGTAAGAATGAGGAAATAGGGAGAGGAGTCGGCAGGGTCTTGACAGAGTTGGGGAAGTGAAAAATCAGTGTATTTGCCAGCCGTGTGTTAGCTGGCAACTAATGGAGTTTAGGATTCTGTACTTCCACAGAGATGGGGAGACCGAGGTCCTGTCCTTCCTAATTACATTTCAAAGATTTGGTTTTCAGGTCCTTGAGAAAGAAACTCCTGAGCTGGGGGAGACACATATACATCTCAAAATGACAAAGGGCAGCTTAGAGTTAGTTGTAAGCCTTTTTTCAAGTAAATGCTCCCAGAAAGGCAGGTGGGGGCTATTCCTCAGGTGTTGGCTAGAACAAACAGTACATGCTTTTGGAGGCTTTAGAGTTTTTGGTTTTGGTTTTGGTTTAGGTTTTCAAGCAGGCATTTTAAGGAAGGTCAGGGTCATTCTAGGGGTGAAGGCTATTAGAGGCTATGAAAAAACAGACAGCGAGAGAGACTATATTAAAGTTTACTCAAGTATTTTAGTGTGGATATGAGTGAATGAAATCATTTGTGCTGGGAATCTGCAGTTCTTAGAGGCTGAAGTTAAGGCCCAATAGAAAAGAGGTCTCAGAGGAGGCTATCTAGAGTATGGTTGGGAAGAGTCTCTGTCAGTCCCTCTATATTTTACAGGGTTGCAGCTAAAATACACATAAAATTTTGTATCCTTCATTTTCACCAAACAGATGATCAATAGCATTTTCTGTCTCTGCTTTATGCTCTCCATGAACTCATTTGGGAGATAGCGTACTTGTCCACAAAGTGGCCACTTCACAGTGTCCTCATCCTTCCCTCCTTGTGGACATTCCTGTTCTTTCCTATTGTTTACTGTTAAAGGAATACAAAAATAAACTCCTCACTCATATGTTTCCCCACGCCTCGTTTGATTGGGATGATTAGAATTAGAATAGCAAGAAATTACAAAATTTAAGGGTTCCAACACTTGAAAGATTTGGGGGCACAGTGGATTTTCTTTTCTTTTTCTTTCCCTCTCCTCCACTCTCTGGCCCACCCATACCCACATTTTGTATGTTAGCCAGGGCAGTGGAGGGTGGCCTCAACTGGACCATTCCCATAGGACCCAAGATAAGATGTGGGAAAGTGGCTTTTTATATTTCTCCCGTTTTGGGTAAAGAGAATATATATAGGACATTTTTTTTTTTTTTTCCCCTCTGAGTTGGGGTGTGGGCAGCTAGGACAATACATTTCAAGGAATCATCAGTTTTAGGCTGGGTTGGGAGTTCAGGCAGAGAATAGATAGGAAAGGAAGGCTTGTAAGGACCCTGAAGAAGGAGAGTGACGTGCATTGAGGAGACACAGGCATGCTGGCCATAGCATCCTACACTTTGCCTGCTTGGGCCCAAGGGACTGGCCTGAGCAGTCCCTTTAACCAGACTGGACTGGAATAAATAAGTTGCTTTCCCAGAGGCCCATATCAATTTCAGTGCTAGAAAGCAGCGTGGGTGACTACCAGCTTTGTTATACCTTTGTCAACATTTCTTTTGCTAATTTAATAGGAGAACATAATATTTTTTTAAAATTTACATTTAACTATTTGACTGTGTGGTACAATCTCAGTCCATATTATTTTGAGTCAAGTCTTCCATGTGGTGAGCTTTGTCCCTGCTGACACTCTGGCTTCTGTTTTTGTTATAAGAACCAAATAACAATTGGACTGTAGTTTTTAGTGTTGTGTATTATGGGAGAAAATAGTAAGGGAGGATATATATCAGTAATACATTGGAAAGGAATAGAAACTTTTTTTTAAGATTTTATTTGTTTATTTGACAGAGAGAGCAAAAGTAGGCAGAGAGGCAGGCAGAGGGGGTGGGGGGAGCAGGCTCCCCACTGAGCAGAGAGCCCCATGCGGGGCTCCATCCCAGGACCCTGAGACCATGACCTGAGCCAAAGACAGAGGCTTTAATCCACTGAGCCACCCAGGCACCTCAGGAACAGAAACTTTTAAAAGCATTTGCTCTCCTTCCATATTATGCTGAAGACACGCAAGGATGAGTATAGATGACATCTGTGCTGCTGGAAGCGTGGTAGCCCTGGTTTCAGGGCAAGCAGCAATCTGATGTGTGGTTTAAATTTTCTCTGTGAATATTGGAGCAAATGTGTTGAAGAAAATTCAGTAAAGCAGTTTTTTTTTTTTGTAGGTCTACATTTTTTTCTTCAACATCAATGTTAAAAGCTAACAATAATGAATGAAGTCGTGATCATCGTAATAGCAAATACCATAGACTGAGTACATACACGGAATCATGCTAAATGATATAAATACATTGCCTCATTTTGTCCTAACAATGATGACTTAATTTATACCCACTATGTGCAGAAGAGGGAAATGGGACTCAAAGCTTGAGAAAGTTTCTCTCTGACAGACTGCTTATGAGTAGCAGAAAGCCAAACTCACATCTTTATATCGCAGTGCTTCAACAGGGGGCACTGTTGTCCCAGAGAACTTTTGACAAATTCTGGAGAGACTTCAGATGTTTTAACTGGAGAGGCATCCATGAGCAGAGGAGGGCAGAAGTGCTGGTACATATTCCACAATGTACAGGCTAGCCCTCCCCTGCAACAGAAAATTATCCTTCCCAAATGTCCAGAGTAGTGAGGAAATCCAGAGTCCAAGCTCAAGTTGCATAGTGTGTCCATTAGGAAACTCTGAATGCCCAGCCTAGGAGTTCTATCATTATTTCTACTACACAGAGGGTGATGGGTTATCCACTTACATCCTAATCCTTGGGAGGGAAAATTTCCTGCTCAACACCGTATCAGGCAAATCTGTCTTTATTTTATCTTGAAGCCCAGGTTAGCTACTTGAAATTCTTTGCAAATTGCAATGTTTAACAAATGAATTGTCTGCGTCCGGCATTCCCTTAAGTCCATTAAACATTCATGGGGAAGGGTTTCACTTTACAGTCATTTAACAAGATGTGAAACACCTAGTCCAGCGAAGCAACATGATACCCTGGAAATACTTGACTGGGAGGCAGCAGAACTAGACCTTGCATTGCTGTGGAAGCATCTAGTGCTTTGCCATCATTTACAGATGACCCGTTTGTGACTCAGAGAGATGAACTGACCTCATTTACTGTGTTCCAGGTGAGAGAGAGAGCTGGAGCGAGCATTATAACCTCCAGACTGAATGACACTTCTCAGCCTGATTCAGGGATCAGAAAGAGAAGGTATTAAAAGAGAGATGAGGGGCACCTGGGTGGCTCAGTGGTTAAGCCTCTGCCTTCAGCTCAGGTCATGATCTCAGGGTCCTGGGATCGAGTCCCACATCGGGCTCTCTGCTCTGCAGGGAGCCTGCTTCCTCCTCTCTCTCTCTCTCTGCTTGCCTCTCCACCCACTTGTGATCTCTCTCTGTCAAATAAATAAAATCTTTAAAAAAAAAAAAAAGAGAGAGAGAGAGATGATCCCTTTTCTCTTAAAATCAAAAGAAATTACACCTAAGTGAGAAGTAAGGGAATAAAATTATACATCCCTTCCCACCCTTTTTTCAAGAACCCTCTCAGGAAAGATTGGTTTATGGGAGTTAACATTCAATGAGGAAGAACTGGAAGATAATATTTGCATGCATTAGGAGAGTCCGAAGAATTTAATGCCTAATGCAACCTTG